ATTGTTGAGCTAAAACAATATTTCCCAATAAGTACCAAACACTATATGATTTTATCCGATACCTTAAATAGAATTACCAATAAATTGAAACAGCCAATATACAATGTTCAAGGGTACATCCACACTGAGTTTACATCATCACCAAGGGATATTCAAACCCAAAAACAACAACAAAAAGAGGCCAAAAAATAACAAAATTGGCCACACTATGCAAAGCATCCTTACATACAAAGACACCTAAACAAAAACAACGAAATCATGTCTACAACAACAAATCCTTCAACAAACCAGATGCTCCTACAAAAACATCCAACAAAGACAAAAGAAAACAGTACCACAATCATCCTTCATCCAACATCTAAAATCGTTTCTAGAACCAAAAATCATTTATGGGATCCAGAAATCGTTCTGGTCCCAGAAATTTCTGGGATTCCAGAAATCATTTCTGATTCCAGAAATCATTAAAATATCCAAGAAATGATTTTTGAATCCCTAAAATGATTTATGAGATCCAATAAACAGTATAAACATCTCAAAAACGATTTTTGAGTCATATAAACAATTTAAACAAATTCCATGTAAATAAATGCAGTTGGATTCATAAAATTGAAGGATGTAACGATTTACACCCTCATATTTGTAGTAAAATATAATGTTGTTGGATTCAAAAAAAGAAACAAATGAATTACCTCATTCTGTGTAAAAAGTTTATGGACAATTGAGAGAGAAAAACTACCTTTGTTGAAATGATTATAACATTGCAAATTGTAAAGACAATAAACTCACGTTTAATATAATGCCAGTCTACCAAAAGTCAAACAAAATTGAAGATTAAGGGCAACCCTAGTTGTTTAGCATAAAAATGATGGGCAAAGGATAACCGAGTTACCCGACTCGGGTCGATCTCGAAGGAATGCTATTCGGAGCTTCGTCTACTATATGATCGTCCAAATCACAAAAATCGAAAATAAAATCCTAAACATTCTAAGCAATTGATTGGGGTTTTGATTATCACTAGACGAGCAATTAATTAAAAGCAAGATGAAAAGACGAGCAATTCGCAATCTAGATCACCGGAGTCTCAAGCCATAACCAATACGGGATGATAATCAATCTACATACGGAATAAACGAGCTACGAGCATTATATTGCTAACCCTAGTCGTCTAACCGAGATCAACAAGTAATTAACAGCTCTATCTACTCTAGCAAGCAATCAAGTTCAAGCTTTTCCACCATCATCAATCAAATCCAATTTACTCTAATGAAAATTATAAGTTAAACCGGGGCAAAAAACGAAGTAAAGAGCTTTAAAATTAAATACTCAATCCTCCAT